CACTTTAATGTATGGTAGTGAAAGTTGGGTCTGGCAGAAGAAGCATGAGAGTAGAATAAATGCTGTAGAAATGCGTTCCTTAAGGAGTATGCTAGGGCTGAATCTGAATGACAGGGTGAGAAATAGTGTAATAAGTGAAAAGTGTGGTTTGCAAGATAACGTTGTGACAAGGATTAAGAAAGGAATGCTTCGGTGGTTTGGTCACGTAGAAAGAATGAACGAGGAAAGAGTGACAAAGAAAATTTATGTTGCAGAAGTGAACGGCAGGGTCGGGAAGGGACGCCCTAGACGAAGGTTTATCGACCAGATCGGCGATACATTGAAAATGGGCCAGATTAGGAGTACCCTTAACCGACGAGCGTGTATGCGTAGATATATGGATGTGAAAGAGGCGAGAGAGGTGTGTCAGGATCGCGCCAAATGGAAGTCCGTAGTCTCTGCCTACCCCTCTGGGTGACAGGCGTGAGTGTTTATGTATATTATGTATGTATGTGTGCTCGTTAGCCACCCTAATTTGTATAAACAAAGTCCAAGGTAAAACAGTAATTAAAAAAATCGATTGAATAAAAATGTTACTGAAAAGAAAAAAAAATATATGCCCAATGTCACTTACACAACTAAGACGAATATTGCGACACCTTATACTAAAATCCGTCAAGCCGTTTAGATTACAGAGCGCGCCAAAGAAATTATATACACACTCGAAAAACATTGCCTTCTTTCCGCGGGCGTCGAGTATAAAGAAAACTAGTATTTTTTATGGCCCACAGAAATCAATATCTATCATCGATTACTAAGGAGAAGGACTGAGATGACGAGACATTGTTACCAGTAAAAAGTGTCTCCGGACGTATATATATGTACGTCCTAAATCGAATCACCAGGCTGTCACATGTACTAGTACAATTTGTTACAAATTAATGCCGAAGAAAATAGCCGTGCAATCACTTTGTTGCCATTTTACATACCTAATTATTCACACATTGATTTGTCCGCGTTATATGTGAAGAATTTTCAACAGGTTTCATGTTTACAAGAAAAGAAATTAATTTGTAACATTTCCCGTTTAAAAGAAATTTGTTTAATATTTTTTTTATTTACGCTTTATTGTATAAAACACTTTAATAACAAATAACTTTTATATATACCTATCACGATTTTTATTCTTACTTTTTTTAATTCTTAAAATTTCAAGTGTCTAAGTCATCGGGAAGTTAGTTTAAAATCTATTACTAAATTCCACCCATACTTGAAAGCGAGTTAGTAAAAAAAACGTGGTAAAAGAGCGGACTTATTACCTTTTAGCATTCTATCCCAGTCAAGCCAGGGCGTGTGGAAATAATGTGATACGTGCCAAAAAAAACGCAATGGTAATACGTATGTGGCAGTAGGAAGGAAAAAGGGAGATCTCCCGCCGGGCAAGGTGTGCTGCCCGGAAAGCGGACAACGCTCCGATGATTGGTTAGTTCGGAGCTATTCTATATATTATGCTGCTTTAACTTCGGAACTTTGTTAGCGCTATTTAGGCTTCGACGTGTTTCGCTTGTGGCTCGACGACAGCGCCGCCACAGCTAAATATCAATAATTCACTATCCGCCACACGTACTATACATAATTGTAAAAATATTGTCAATTTTGAGAGGAGTAGTAACGTATTTTAAAGGAAAAAAAATCTCTTAGATGATTGAAATTGGCAATATTATATAAAAAACGGTACGTTTAACTTACACGCGAATTGTCTAAATAGTTTAATTGTCTAAATAGTCTACATAGTTGTTGCGAGCTAAAACCTAAAATGGGAAGTCATATTTAGGCCTTAAGCTTCGGCCAAACTGAGGCGAATTCCGCGCGGGACGCGGGACGCGATTCGCTCGCGCCGTTTGCGTCAGCTAACTTCTATGGAGGTGTTAACATTGGCGCGAATAGTCACGTTCACGTTCTGCAGCGAAGTATATGCGGAATAGTGTCTGATTTTTCGAAATGCCATTGAACCTTGAATTATTTTTACAGAAAATAAAAAAAAAAACTAGATTTTATACGACCTCAGCCACGAAGACTATAAAAATAATAGGAAAAAAGATAGGGAATGGGAAGTTTTATCAACAATCGAACAAAATATGTTTCCGTATACTTTGGTCGATTCTTAATAAAACTTCATTATAGCATTCTTCCGGCATACGAAAATATAGATAAAATCTATTTTTATCATTTCGTAATGTGTGTATCAAAGTGTGCAACTCTCCAAATTCAGCTCATGAACCCATTTCCTTCTTTCCTTCCTCACATGTTGAGATTCATCTCAGTTAATGCTAATAAAAACAAAACCACGGCTTCAATATCAAAAGACATGTTTTCCTATTGAGGAACCAAAACTAATGACGTGCGGGATTCGCCCCAGTTTGGGAAACTAAGCGAGCGAGCGAATCGCGCAAATTCGCGTCCCGCGTCTTTTTTTTTTTAGGAGAGGGGGAAAACGAGCATGCGGCTCACCTGATGGTAAGTGACTGCCGCCGCCCATGAACAACCACAACACCAGGGGAACCAGGGGAATTGCAGATGCGTTGCCGGCCTTTTAAAAAGGAGTAGGCTCTTTTCTGGAAGGTCGTAAGTCGTAAGTCGTATCAAATCGCTTTAGTTTGGCCGAAGCTTTAAGGCGATACCCCGACCAAAGCCTTGCGATAGTCCGTTTTTCTTCGTTATTCAGAGACTATTATCTCATTAGTTATGAGAAATAAACTACATTCAAGAGCACATTATTAATGTTGGATACCTTATGATCACATTCCACGTTCTAATTTGTTTTTAAGTGTTATAAATACATTAAAAACTACTTTTAAAAAATGACTAAAATTATTGATTACATGCATCTGTTGCTAAAGGCAACGCTCTAATCATTTGAGCATTACTTATGGATAGATAATTTAAAAATCTATATTATTCACGTTTTGTTTAATTTTTAAAGTTCGCTTTTCTTTTTTAATTAAAATAATTCCAAAAATTATGGGAATTCTATGATAAAGGGGCGTACGCATAGTGCGGGCGCGGGCGGCAGTGCACTGCATGCGTTCGTACGAGGAAGCCGTGTTGTTCTCCGTGTTTCGCCGCAAACATTTATAATATTATTTGAGTACCTATCTACCAACCGATGCGCTCACATTTTTTCACCGCAAAAAGACTCCACGATTGTGTTATTGTGAAAATATAATTTTGTGTAATTTGTGGGTTGATTAGTGCAGATGCCTAAATTCAAGAAGAATAAATGTCAACGACGTCAAAATGCTCTAAAGATGAATGAAATTCTGTTAGTAATTTGATGCATTATGCAAAGTTTACTTACTTTCATTCCGCTAAATGCCTACATGTTATTACATAGTATCTTTTTATTTTAGGAAGAGAAAAAAAAATACCTGAATGCGAATTTGATGACGAAAATAATTATTCAAGTTTAATTAAAAATGAAAATGGGTGGGTCGGGCCCACTTTTGTGTCCATAGAGTTATGAAATTACAAACAGAACTTATGAAATTTGATGTGATATTTTTTGTAGTTACCATGTAAATAGTATGAACCTTTTCAAATATATAGCTAAAATATGTATCTAAATGATTTATTACAAATAATTCAGTTTTATTTTTATGCAAGATCTAATATAATTAGTTCTTTATTGCAGGCTAAATACGAACCATGACAATACGCCAGTAAACGATTTGAGTCAAGAAACCATAGAATTGCAGGATACATGTCTTGGTTCAACTGAAATGGTTGAAGATGGAGAGGTTTGTATATTTAATTTTTTGGTTTGTAGATATTATGATGCACAAATATTTACCTAATCAAAATACCTTAGTAGGTATTGTGATAAGGTACACACTTGTGCTTGTGATTAGGTAAAAGATATCTAAGTAGGTACTAGTACTAAATAGGTATCAGTACTAAGTAAATCAGTAGCTACTAATGCCTACCCTGTATAGACACCTACTAAGGTATTGTTATTAAGCTCGCACGTCTCCAACTAGTTCCGGTCAATCGCTCGTCCCTTGCGACAACGCGTGACCTCATACTGCATAACAGACGGTGTCCAAGTTACAGAGCTGGAGTAGGAAGCTCTCCGTCATTAGCCGTACTCACCAGACCTTGCGCCTACAGACTTCTTCCGTTCTTCTCCCGTCCAGTTTATTTTTTTCAAGAACGGCATCAATAAACTCCAACTGCGCTGGCAAAGATGCATCGATGGCATGGGTGATTAATTTGATTAATAAATATAAAACATATAGAAAAAAATTACGTTAAATTATTTCATAAAAAATGGCAATTTCATAGGTAACTTCTTCTTCTTCCAAAAAGGAGACGGTACTCAATTTGACGCGTTTGTTTTTTTTTATGTGTGTTACCTCATAACTTTGTACTGGGTGAACCGATTTCGATGATTCTTGTTTTATATGAAAGCTGATACTTCTCGTGTGGTCCCATATGAATTTGATCAAGGTCAGACCAACAGTTTTTGAGTTATTTTAGTTATTCGTAATAACTTATATTGAAGTCGGCTGGACAAAATTTTTAATTTTAAATTATATGATCAGTGATCGAAGTCAACTAGTAATCAGTGGTATACTTATAACTAAAACAATAAAGTTAATAAAAACATGACTAGTATCTTACTTAGTATCTTACTATCAGTCTCATAGCACTAATACATAAAAATAATTATATATATATATATAGTGTGTAGGTGTATTTATGTGTATATTTTCATTTAACAGCTGTATTGTAATAATGTTCTATTTGTTCAAAATTAAAGGACGTTAAAAAATTTGTAATTAATTTCTTACATTCAAGATAATAAAATTTACTTTATATTTTATTTTGTTCTATTTATTAATACCAACCCAGTATTCCTAGTCACAAATAATCACAATACCTCATTATGTATTGTAATTGGGTAAAATATATCTAATTAGTTACTAATACCTACCCAGTAAATATTAAAATAATAAATGTAGCATTATAAACAGCAAATCCCCCTCAAATTCAATTTACTAATATTGTTCCAATTTTAATCCAGTTCAATGCTTCATTTTCTGATGTTAGATACCTTCTTCATTTTTATTAATTAGATAGTATATGAGAATACATAATTCTAATATAATGCAACTAATATACCGAATAAATGCTGTGTCTATTTCCATAAAATAGTTTGATGTTGAAAAAAATAATACTACGTTCGTACAGTAGGTGGCGTCTTGCAGATTTCTTACGCGATATATTGTAGTGAGAATCGGCGGACCGAATGCTCAAGGTCGTTCTCTAGGAATAGCGCCTTAACAAAATCATATTACGGCCAGGCGCACAAGTTTCAAGTACACGCCGGGCTCGTTTTGACGGGCCAATTCAGAGGGCTGCCACGCGGCAGCCGGTTCGCACGCGATACAGTTCAGTATTAACTCACGCCCCGCGTCACGTCGTCCATTCGTCGCTTAAGATACAAGGGTTAACTAAAATGAAGGCAAAAGCATATTGCATTGCATTCGGGTGCTTAAATAATAACACTGACCCGAACCTCACGTTTTTCACACTTCCGAAGGACATCGAAAGGTAAAGAAATGCACGTCTCATAGGTAATAAGTAATTAGCTTAACCAAATGTTTACCTTTGTTATTCTTATTTATATTATCCGTATTTACGAGGTTAGAAAATTTATTATTATTATATAGTATAGTAAGGTTCGTTAAGTAAAGGTAGGAAAGTCGGTACCTATTTAAATTATATTTTAGTATTTTCGTTTTGGTTGGTAGATCAATAAGTTTTTGGAAACGCAATGAAACTCTAGTATAAGTATAGGTAAATTGTATTTATTTTTCAACGTAATAGCCTTTTAGGGTAATGCACCTTGAATAGCACGTTAGTAAATTGCCTTGGGAAAAAGCATTGATCCCGGGACTCGAAAAGGTCTCTACAGCACACATCACCTCATTGTAGCCGTCAAATTTATATCACGCAAGTGCTTTTTCAGGTGAGTAAAGGGGTGAAAATCAATAGGTGCTAGGTCCGGAGAATATGGGTGGCTTCTGCTTCAGCTGAAACCCAGCAATGCGGATGGCGTCGCCATCTGATCACATCAAATCGATAGACAAGTGCATTATCACGATGAAAAAGCACTCCAACACGCAATTTACCTCGACGTTTATTCTTTAGTTCTTCGCGTAGTTTTTTGATTAATGTTTAAATTGTCGATCATTATTGTACCTTCCGCATCCCAGAAGATAGATGCTATTATTTTCCAGCTTTCGCGGACACCTTGAATCTCTTGGCTGGCGAGGAAGACGGTCTTTTCCACATCTTGCTTTGGTTTTTCATCTCCGCGTGAAAATGGTGTACCCAAGTTTCATCTACAGTTACGAAACGCGCGTAAAAAGTATCTGGATCTTCTTCAATTATTGCTAAATTTAACTTTGAAATGTCAACTCTTGCTTTCTTTTGGGCGTCTATTAACATTCGAGGAACCGAGCGCGCGGCCACCTTTTTGAATTTTCAGGTATGAGTTAACGTGGTTGAGCCATACTGCAGCTGTATTAATTGTATAGTTGTAGCATGAATGTGTCGGCTCGACTGGTGAAGGACCACGCTCTCACAGAATACCAGCGTAGAGTAGCAGCTTAATGCTGCTGTGTTTCGTATGATGAGTGTAGAGCATTCCATCTTAGTCCTCACGGCTGATAACGCTGGGTTTTATTTAATTTAAAGTTTATTTTCTTCTTTTTAGATCATTTAAATAAAAGCTTGTTTTTAAAAATGTTTTTTTCCTATTAATATATTATTGTGAATGGTCTATTTTTTGTTTTATTATATAACTCTGTGTGTGTGTTGTACATTTACAAATACATTTCTGTGAACAACTTACCTTTGTTTCATTAATAAAATTAGTTGATTTTTACAACTTCATAAAGTAATATCATAAACGTACTTACATGTTATTGTAACGAAATAAAGAAATCCTACCAAAGAAGAAAAGTTACCATTTAGATGATCTACTGCAAGTACCTATTTATACAGGTCTGGGATAACCTCCCCTTAATTATGCTACGGCCACACTACCTTGTCGTGTACTGCCCGTTTACCGCAACAATTAACTATAGCATTAAATTACTGCCTAAATTGCGTGAAGTAGTGTGGTTACAATAAAAATATTAAAAATAGATATTCTGTGGTTACACTAGAGTTTACCTAGATATGAAAATGAAATAGGTGGAAAAATGTCATGTTTAAGCTGCGGCGGTGTTGTACTCTATATGAGTGTCAGTTATTATTACATTAATCTTTTACATTTTAACAAAGCTAAATCAAGACTTAAAAGAAGATAGTGAAAGATAAAAATGCACAGAAAGCCTTCTTTTTCCGTTGAGCTCGTGTCGCACACTGAACAAACTGTGGTGTGGCCACATGACGAAAAAATTACCGCGGTCATCGTCTTTGATATGCGAAAAAGATCGCCACCGGAACTATTCACTACCGTCACATGTCATATTGATTGACATTGTAAATTTATGGCCATAAATCGTGACTACACCTAGGTTTTGTTTCAATTACCTATGGCCAAAATTATTGCCATATCACGATTCACGATAGTGTGGCCGTAGCATTAACTGTACAAGTTCTGTTAATGGTCGGTATTGTGATTTTGATTATGTAAATGCAGACTAAGAGCTATTGGTATTTTAGTTTTAATTTGCCCAACTTTCTACTTCAAATAATAATAACGGGGACTAAATGAACTTAAGCATCAATTTAAAACATTTCAACCACAAGTTTTATTTTCATATTCCAGACGCGGAAAATGGTTGACATTAATCGACAGAGAAGACTTATTACAAATGGGAGATTTGAAGAAGAGCAGCTATTTAGTTTGTTCGGCACATTTCGAAGATACTTCGTTCAAAATAATTAAACATCTCAAAGAACATGCTCTTCCATCAATGCTTTTACATAACCAACCTCAAGAAGGACCGTCCATATCCGCACAAGTCAAAGACAAAGTGACTATATTATCGAATAATAAAGAATATGTTACCGTTGAAACTCAAACAGAAGCGTTACGATCAACGAAAGAACAAACACAGAAATCAAAGGCACTTACCGAAGGAACGCCAAGAAAACGAAAAATCTCAATTGAAATACGGGAATGTAACTTGAAACGCCAAAAATTGGATCAAGAAATTAAAAACGTAAATACTTTTGTAATAAACACTTGTTTAAATAGTTTTTGTTTGTTGTTTTGTATATTTAGACACATGATAACATAGTTGTATAAGTTTTAGTGTCATTTATATGTGTATGATAGATACATAAACACAATACATAATGAAAAATACAGCAACTAATTTATTAAAATTGTTAACGAATGTTAATTTTGTCACTTCTTGTCCATATTTTATAAATCTTATATTTAATAACAGTTTTAGAGTTATATACGTGGTAGAATCATGCTGCAGCTATATTAGTAGTATAGTTGTAGCACTAATGGGTCAGCTCTACCGGGGAAGGACCACGCTCTCACAGAATACCAGCATAAAATAGCAGCTTAACGCTACTGTGTTTCGTATGCTCACATGCAAAGAACCGGAGACCCCTTTTACTGGAGACGAAGCATTCCATTTTAGTTCTTACGGGTGACAGTGCATCTACATTTTGATTCATAAACGGGGATAGATGTAGATGTCTATGGTCCACAGCAGCCACTTACCAACCAGGTAGACTGTGTGCTCGTTTGTGACCCTTATCCTATAAAAAAACCGTTATTTTGGAGACTGTAAAAAATATAAGACATTATATTGAAGTAAAACAGTTGTAAATTAAATACATAAATAAAATGTACTATAAGTACTGTAAATTGCTACCGACTTCAAAAAGGAGGTGGTACTCAATTCGACTGTATATTTTTTATGTGTGTTACCCCATGACTTGTTTCTAGGTGAGCCAATTTCGACGCTTCTTTTTTATTTGAAAGCTGGTGCTTCACATGTGGTCCCATATAAATTTGATCAAGGTCTGACCAGTTGTATTTGAGTTATCCTTAATAAGTTTATTTGTTGTACAATTTTTTTAATTTTACCACTTGTTTACTCTTCGTTGAAAGGTAGGTTAAGAAACCCAAGTACCCACGGAATATCGTCCGTGACGTAGGAAAGGGAAAAGATGCAAAGCTATACGGACCGCTACGCAACAAGAATATAAAACCGAGCAGACTGCTTCATATTACCGGCGTGTGCGATAACACTACTACACACACAGCTATGTGTGCGTGACTTGTCACAGACAAGGCGCTGGAGGTGTGAAGAGTGCACCGGCGCCCGCTAGGGTAGTGGGGTACAAACTGGCTTGAGCCCGCTCAGTGAGCGGACTAAATTACGGTGTGCCTCTGGCAGCGACACGACGACGCGGACGTTTAGTTGTGTTTTTAAAAATGCCAAACGGTTGTACTGTGTGTACAAATAATGGTAGAAAATGCAAGAAGATTTCTTTTTTTACGTATCCAAAAGATCCTGTCAGGTAATTACTCAAAACCTTTTTAATGCATAAATTACCGAAGTATATAATTACGACGCCTATCCAAAATAACTAAGAGTATAGGTTAGAATATAAGGTTTTCCGTAATTATTATTTAATATTCTTAATATTACTTATGCTTTACCAAATTAACGTCTATATTGGCGTAGGTATTATTGTTCGTCTCCTATTTGTTTCGTATTTATTTTTTGTTTTAGTAGGTACCAACGTGTTTGTAGGCTGTCTTAGCAAGATTCCGTTTGACTTTTTCTAATAGATACTTAACTTACGTTACTTTCGTGAAATAGTAAAACAAGAAAGGAAACGTTTTAGTGTCGCCATGTCCGTCTGTGTCTGTCAGTGCGTAAGTTATTTTGTACTAATACTTATATACATTTTTTAAACCCGCCTAATCTATACAAATAAATAAAATTGAAGTGTCTGTTTGTAATGTCAAAATTACATTTTTTACTAAATGCACATGAAAGTAAATACGGTACCTATAACTAAAATACAATTTTTAAAATTTTTGTCTGTCTGTTTATTCCGGATAATCTCCGAAACGGCTGAACCGATTTTGACGGGACTTTCACTAGCAGATAGCTGATTTCACAAGGAGTAACTTAGGCTACTTTAATTTTAGAAAAAGAATGGGGGTTCCGCGCAAAAACATAAAAACCCTAACACGCGAGCGAAGTCGCGGGGAACAGCTAGTTGTAAATAATATCGAAATATCAATATCTATACAAATAAATGAAATTGAAGTGTCTGTTTGTAATGTCAAAATTACAGCGTTTTACTAAATGTATATGAAAGTAAAAACGGTACTTATAACAAAAATACACTTTTTAAAATTTTTGTCTGTCTGTTTGTTCCAGCTAATCTCCAAAACGGCTGGACTGATTTTGACGGGACTTTACTGGCAGATAGCTGATATCATAAGGAGTAACTTAGGCTACTTTTATTTTAGAAAAATAATTAGGGTTCCTCGCAAAAAAATTAAAACCCTAAATTACGCGCGGGCGAAGTCGCGGGGAGCAGCTAGTTTTCTCATAAAAATATCGAAATATAGATATCGTCGATATTTTTAATTGCGATATATCGATATTTAGTGTAGAGTATCGAATTCGTATCAATTTCGATATATTTTAAAATGTTATTTTAATCGACTAAGCAACATATTCTATTTTATTTATTAAGCAGCCAAAGCAGCTACAAAAGCATTCATGTGCTGTTGTAGTTTTTTTTTCGTCGTACATTCGTCAGTAATAACATTTTGGGGCTTATCCTAGTGCATCATGCAAAACATGACGGTATATCGATTTTTATCACGCGATATATATCGATACTGTTTAAAAATATCGATACAATATATATATTTTCATTCGCTCATCCCTAGTTTGTAGGCGGGATTAGCGCTCTTTTGAAAACATCCAGTATTTAATAATCTAAATTAAACATCTAAATAGCATCTAAACATCTAGATAGGTACAGGTGATTTAAATGGACGGTGACAATATTCAGATCAGATACAGCTTACAGTTTAAATCTGATACTTAATTATTTTGTATCACGATTATTTATTTAGCAGACAAATCGAATACGTACTTACTAGTTAATTTGCTGATAATAGTAAATTTAGTTGCAGATCACGTGTTGGTGCTCATTTTTAATTTATTGCCTACAAAAACATTTCATGCTGACCAAATGAAAATGCAAATTTTTCTTTCATTCCAAATATAATACTAGCGAACTAAATACATACCTAATTACTTCCCATATTTTATTTTGGTGTTTTATTTCAGACGACACAATTGGCTTACAGCTGTAGGTCGAGAAGATCTAATTGAGGGATCTGGAGATTTTAGGATTTGTGAACAGCATTTCGAAAGAAAGTTTATCGTATTTTCAAAGTACAGAACAAAAAAATATTTAAGTGATGTTGCATTTCCTTCATTAAACATTCCATCTTATGTCGATACAAGTACAGTAAGTTTTTGTTTGTAATTTTGAACTCTCATAAAAAAAAAATTATGAAATATAATTTAATTCTTAAAAAAATCTAATTTATAATAAATTATATCTTTTAAGATAATCATTAACATGTGTCCGAATTATAGAAACTAAAATTGATAGCCCTAATGCACCTTCAGTACAGTAAATAATAAAAAAATAATAATATATATATGTAAACGAAAGCTCCAGCATTCATTCTGCTTGGTTTTATATTCTTATGCCTGCGCGCAGCGATAGAGTTTAATTTAGTGATTATCCAGGCTATTAAAACGTCGGCAAATAGTCACCAAAGAAGTGCAACTTCTGTACGTAGAACTGTTATTTCTATTATTAATTATGTGGTATTACAATATTACATGCTTGAATTCTGTATATTTATCGAATATACGAACAGTAGCATATTATATGTACTTTTAACTTCTACCCTCTGTATATCACACTTGCCTTTAATAATTAAACTGATTAGAGAATTAAATTAATTATTACAGTTACAGCCTGTAACCCAGTGTGTATTGGCGAACTTCACGTCTTCGAATTATTATTTTTTTCTTATTTCTCAGACATGGGGGTTTCCTTCACCGAGCACGTGGTAACTCAGCACTTAATCAGGCGTTACTTTGCGAAAATTCATTACATTAAAGATTACTTTGTGAAATTTTGTTAGCTATGATTTTTTACGCGCATATTTTAATAATATTTTTAACATCTTTATAATTCTACATTAATCTGAGTAGTGTAAAATAAGTGTTACATCTATACAAATTGAAGAAAACAACAACTTTCCACAGACGGTTCCGTGGCGCAGTGTCCTTGTGAAAATTATGTATGTAAACGGCCCCCCACGATATAGGAGAAATTCATAATGCTCCACATTAAAAAAAATAAACAAAGAAACAGATTTCATTAGAAATTATACTCCCGGGATTTCAAATGTTGTAACTATAATTGTTATGGCTGCAATACGAATGGGTCGGCTAGAACGGGGAAGGACCACGCTCCTACAGAATACCAGCTTAAGTAAATGTAGAGAAACCAATAGCCTTGTTAAAAAAATATTATAATTAACAATTTCAATGGTGCCGGCGGGGATCGAACCCGGGTTCCTCGTGTACTGTGAAATTAATAGTATACTTTCTACGATGAGCCCCTGAACTACCACGGCTCTCCAGTTTAATTTTGCGAAATTACTAAATGTCATTGACCATAGTTTGCTGAGATCACCGTGTACTCTGTAAATTAAATGCTATTTGTGTCGTATCAATATTTCTATATTTAATGCATTACAATTAATGTTAATAATTAATTCAGCTCATTGCTTGAGTTACGGCGCTGATAGACGAGAGTTCGAACCCCGCATTTACAATTATTTTTCATGTCCTACAAATAATTGTTCCGGGTCTGGATGTTTGTCCTTGTGTAATTTATGTATTGAAACTGCTTCCACGTCGTCGATCGTGTTTAAATTAATATATAAAACAAATTAAGTATACCTATAACAATTCACTATTTTGTTTCATTTTCATTATGCTTTATTTGAGAAAAAAAGGAGAAAATAGCTACCTCCGCTATTATTCAAGTGATCTTTAAAAATCACAACAAATGCACGTTAATGCTTGAAAAATAATTAATTTTAGTTAATTAATTAGTTAATCATTTAGGGCACGGAACAATTATTGAATAAGGTATAACTCAAAAATTAAGAATATTATACATTATAAACAAAAAATTTGCATTACAACAATAAAATTTATTATTGATAATATAAAAAGCATAATTATGTGATTACATCATATTTCCCACACCTATCCACTGATTAATATCTACCATTTTAAACTCGAACGCTCTTTGAGGTGCGTCCCAGCCCTGAGCGTGACGTCATGACAATAAGAGGAGGCCGGCGAACGTGGCACGAAACAGAACAAAAGCGTGACGAGCAACTTAATAATAATAAAGACTGCCGTCCCAAGCGTAAGCGAATTTGTCGCTAGGGTCGAGTCACGGCCAACCCAAGCCGCGCAGTGAGCAGTGAGGCGTGGTCACGCCGCCGGAGCAGTCGTCTCATGGAGCCATTCGTGAAAATAAGACCTAAAAACAACATGCAAACAATAAGCGAGATCTCGCAAAACGCAGTCCTGCGCATCAGCGACGATAAAACTCTACAGCTCATTGAACTGTACAAGGAAGAGGAATGCCTTTGGAATACCTTCACTGACGTCTACAAGAACAGATTCAAACGCCAGGAAGCCGCCGAGAGAATTGCAAAGGCTCTCGACATCAAAAACTTCAACGCGCGTCACGTTATAATCAAGTTTAAGAATTTACGTAATTCATACTGCCAAGAGCTGAAAAAGATCGCCGCATCCGCTGCAAACGGCGATGAGAAAACCTACAAACCGAAAGTGTTCTGGTTCAACACGATGGACTCGTTCATTCGTCCCCATGTGAACCAGAACCGGGACCTGAAGTCGGTACGTTTTCGCGATAACGCCTCGCTCGATCGGCACCGTTGCAAACCGGTCGCGCGCGACCTTGACTTAGTATCGCATGAGTCAACTCGGCATAACGTTCAATGTTTACATAACCTGTACCCTTAACACTAATGTGTAATCTTTACTTGCAGAAAATTGACAATCTAACGACTTCGATCGCGGACGATCAATCTAATTTGTTCATAAAGAAGGAACCGGAGGCGGAAGAGTGGGTGCAAATGACTGATCCAGAAGACGTGGTCATCCCTGATACTAGCAACGCGAAGGAGCATTTTTCCAGCAGCGAATACGAAGAATCCCTTGAATGTGAACTTCCGAAGCCTTTGGCTTTTAATAATTTTGCGAAAAAGAGGAAATTGGAGGACTTCCATAATGAGTCTCTAGCTGTTACGTTGAGAGATATAAATACTCAATTACATGTGTTGACAAATCAGCGATACGACTGTTTCGACAACTTTGGTAAGTATATATCGGCAATGCTAAGAATTATGCCTATACAGAAATCCATGGAGTTGCAGCCGAAGATCGTAGCTTTAATCACCTCGGTTGGAGTTAGTAATAATGAAGGTCGGATCAGCCAGTCTCATGAGAACTGTAGCTGAGGCCAAAAAACTTTGACCTCCATATTTATCATTCATAAATAGTTACGATTTACGAAGTGTTAAACTTAAATTGTGTTTAAAAGATTGTTGATATGATCTGTAGTTTCTACCTACTGATATTATCTGTTAACGTAATATTTTTAAATTTAACTTGTATTATAATCTGTAACTTAAATAAACAATTATTTCAATTTTAGTTTTATTTGTCAATCCTTGTCTAAAAGTTGTAATAGATGGTATTTATTAAGTAACTATTATATTATAGAAAAATATTTTTACAGTTTTGGTGAATAAAACATTCAAGTAGGTACCTACATAATTCATATTTTTTTTAGCCCTAAATTCAAAACATCTCAATAATTTGAATTACATTATATAATACCATTATTAAAGTTTTAACTGATATAATTTTCTCATTAAAGAAAAACTACATCAAAGCAATTATTTTGTAAATAATAATTTGAGGCAATTTAATCTTTTGCTCTAAATCTAAACCATGGACGTACAAAAATAACTTTTTCCAATACACAATATAAGTACTGGTCTACAAAACTGGTCCTGTATTAACATAGAATATCTCGCTTTAGGATTTTTGAGAGATATAGTTTGTTATTTTACATACCTACCTACATCCTGACATATTTCTTTTTCTAGAAACAAAGAAACGCTATTAAATTATATCATAATTTCAATTCAAATATACTCATAATATTTTGTCTTCTTACTTACACATAAGTTCTCTATAAATTTGGTGCAGAAAATCGCATGAATAAAGAATGTTACTTAGCGTATACATAAGCCTTTTTGGTGTGAAACGAAAGGAGTAAAACGTCTCCGCTTTCGTTCTGAGGTGTCCAATATCACAGCAAAACAAAAACATATTATAAGTCAATTATACTAATGAAATAACCAATTAGGTCAAGTAGAGTATAATTTTAAGTTATATCATTTATTCAATATAGAATAATTTTACTGCATTTGTAAAATACAACAAAGGCAATATATAGTGAATAAAGGGAAACGTTCGGTTGCCAACTTCGGCTTCGGCCTACGTGACTTTCATCAGCGTGGTGTGTGCGAGCGAGATGGGCATGTGAGTGAGACGACAAGATGTTAAGGAACGAGTCGGGGTGATTCCAGATACAACGCTCTTGTCAATAACAAAACGAACCATATCTCATTGTAGTAAAATCTACAATAGTTTTCGTAAATAACAATGAAATGAGCGTAAGGTATTGTAAAAATAACTTTAGTACAACGTCTTAAGGTAAGTAATGTCTGGATTTGGATCATAACTACCTGCTGAAAAACAGGAAATATTCCAGGACAGCTCCAAACGAGTAGTTGTCAGCAATTAATACACTTTTTCACTTCTTTTGTTTTCTAATGCTGCATTTCTTACCTACTTTTCTAATACAAATAACGTTGTAGCTTTGTTTCACAGGTCGGCTGTATCTCAAAATGCCTTTGTCAGTGTTGATTGAGTTTTACCTACGATTCTCAAATGCCTTTGTCAGTGTTAAGTTTTACCTACAATTAAGTAGGTACCTATTTTAAATTGGTCTGGCCGAGCTTTCAGTTAAAACCTTTTTTAATATTAAATACTTAGGTAGGATAATAATTTTCAATGTCACTTGCATACTTTAAAACATAGTTACTTTAAAACAACAGTCAAAATAAAAAAATAAGTTACTGTAAGTAATTTTTCTGCCCTTAACGTCAAAATCAGTTGCGATCTGGCTAGCCACAAAATAAAATATCTTTATCTTTATCTTTATCTGTGGATTCGAACTTTATACCCATATAGAATATTTGAGTCCATGACAGCTTTCTATTTTCGATTTTCGATGTTAATTTATTTAAGTCTCATAATAATTTGTAGGTAACCCATAGAGTAATCACTAATTATGCGTTTTTACGTTTGTTATAAACGGAAGGAAATCATTTGTCATGCGCCGATAGTGCTATCGGAGCTCGCCTCGGTTGTTATGTTAATTTACAAGTTAGAATATGCACTACTTGCAGCTGTCAGTTGATACCACCAGTTATTGCGTAGGTATGCTATTGAAATTTGCAACTAAAGAAGTAACAGTTGATCATCATTTCAACTAGCTTCAAAAAAGGAGTTTATTAATTGAATTCTACGTGCTTTTTAATATGCCATTGACAGCTAACCTTGGAGAGGGTTCGAAGGTTAGCTACTCAACTTAGATGATTTTTTTTTACCGATAGAGCGTTTGTACATTTCTTCCTTAAAAATGTTAGAACTAGAAGTTGTTTTACAGATTCTTTGTTATTTTTTTATTAACGATACAAGAGTAAAGAGAAGTGACTTCCGGGGCACTGGGGTGTAACACCGCAAAATTTCCAACTCCAGGCTGCTACAGAGAATTTTTTGACGGTAAAACCTAATAACTAATTTTGGTCCGACCCGGAATTCAACCCCGACATCTTATGATCAACAGTCGCGCTTATTACCATTAGATCAACGAGGCAGTCAACCGTTTCTGCAACAGGCCGTTGTGTAGGTAACACCGTTAGATCTATTTCAGTATTTACGCTGAAATACACCTACTACTACTGTTGTGTTCTGGTTTATGGAGAGCCACTATGTAATTCCGATGTAAGAGACTCAATCTTAGCCCTTATGAGCTGAAATTGTAACTGATGTTCAGTTTAAAATTGTCTGTAGGTGTAGGTATACACCTTGCAGTATAGAACATGAGACAAACAAACTCACCTGCAGCGAACTTCAACCAAAGAAAGCTACAGATGTTATCAACTCTGTGGACTAAGATGGAATGCCTCACAGTCTAAACCTGAATTGGTTCTCTACCCTTATACACAATAGTGCAAGCACTGCTAGGTCTTTGGTAGTGGTAATAGATGAAATGTAGAGTAATAAACTCATAAAAACCTAGAATATATAGTTACTGTTGTTATTTTTAAAATCGCGTGTAGTCATCTCACAATCTTGATTAAGCTATTCTTGGTTCCGCCTCATCACAATTATTTGTTTTATTTTTCGGTTCTGTAAAATATTGTAATTTAATAATTTTCAATGTTTACTTGATACCGAATGAAATATTTTGAGGTGTGTTTGCATATTGACTTAATAAATTATTACCTTTATTCAAAAACACGGATTAAGCTTTTAAAAGGGATCATTTTTATTACTGAAAATAACACGATTATCTACTTATAGTAATATTTTTAAATCTATAATGGCATTTAGTATAGATCCTATCGCATATTTTAACGGATGATGACAAAAGTGACATTTTGAGCGGAGTTCTTTATAAATAAAATATTGGCCGATATGTCAATGATCTCTTGCAAAAAAATAAGAAGTTTAAAATGCGTTTATTTTTATTTTCAACAAAATGAAAGAAACAAACAGTATATTATATATTACGTATACGTGATATTTTTTACTTTAGGTTAATTTTAATACTTCATCACTCACTTGCATTTTAAGATATTATTATCTGTAGTTATCGTGTCAGCGTGCACGTACGCACTACGAGTACACCTAGATTTCTTCAGGGTTAGCGGAGGAAAGCCACTTTATATAATAATTCTCGGAAGTTTTTAATACGGCGAAGATAATTGGACAAGATGTTCAGATGAAAGCTTTGAGGAAAGAATTAATTTAATGGGCGGGTAAAATGTTAACGATATTTCTAGCAACATAATTGATTAATTAAAGTTTAATACTTTGGACCATTAATCTAAATACGAGTACATTTTGTATTATATTTAATAATGTGTGAACAACATCTTTTAGATTCAGGGGTTCGTTTGCGAAATATTTAGCTTTAAAGTGGTTCGTTTGCGGAATATTTAGCATTAAAGTGGTATTTTTCATTAATCATGCCCCCCCCCCCCCCCCTCCTACCAACTTAACCATTGTCTTTCGAAATGTGAAAAGTATAGACGATAGTTAGATAGTAGTACTTATATAAATAATGAAAGTGAAATATTTATAGATAGATAGTCAAACTATGATCATCTTTGTACCTACCTTGGAATGCGAATGATTTTATGTAAATTGTATTATTTTCAAAATAGAAAAATTTTTTAAATCATTTTTGAATACCACTCCCTATAAGTCTGATTTCGAAATAGGTCCTTCAGTAACGATCTTCCTATTTGAGCCCATTTAGTCATTATGGCGGTCAAACCGCGAATTCACCGTATTGTGACGGGCAACTAGGGAACCCTACCTCTACATTTTGCGTGGTCCGACACACACTTGGCCAGTTTTTTAGGATAATTTTTTTTATTAAATAAGTTAGATTTGAGAGGTATGTTCCATAGATATCTACATCATAGATTATTTACTACAGTAAATAATCTAAGATCTACATCTGTTCTCGATTATAAGTCAAAGGCAGATATTATATTGTCACAGTAGTTTTAGGTACCTACTTACTCTTCTCTTCGCCTCACCATAACAAACTTTTAACTTGCTATTTTGCGCTGGTACCTGGTAGTCCGTGAGAGCGTGAGCCTTCCCCGGTCGAGCCGAACCATTCGTGCTACAACCTATAGCATGGCTCTACCACGTAACCACGAATAAAAAACATGGCATCACTCCCGGCACTGTAAGAAATTCCAGTCCTGCGTAGGTAACTGCTGGTTGCCATCCGGAACATGACCTTCATTATTGACTAGTAGGCTCTTTCATTGTTGCTGGTCCACCAGCAGACCATACAAAATTGAATTATAGCTATATGAAATAAAATTTTGAGTACATTTTGAATATAAACTATATTTTAATAAGAAAAAAACTTTATCGACATTACAGCCGCGATAACAAAGTAGTTTAAGGTCGCGTTTTCACACAACAAATTTATTTTAGCATTACAAATAACAATTTATACCTTATTACGTACGCCTTTAGAAAAGATTAAAAGACAATTTAACATAGTAACGGGTTGATAAAAACAATGTATAGTTACAAGAGTGCATTAGAAAACTCGCATTTATTCCTAATGCAACAAAGTTGTATACGAATATACTTTTATTGAGTAACGTATTTATAACCACAAAATTATTTGAATGGTGTAATATGCGATATTGAGCCTTATTCTTAAAGGAGTGAAGTGTCATACGAGCGTAAAATATAACTATGTAGCAGCTTATAGTACGTATACAGAGGGACACGTAATCGCTTTATTTAGAATCGGCGACAACGAGTCTGTTGTATAAGATTATACCTGATATATAATATGATATTATGTATGTATTGTGTTGTGGGCTTGTGGGTATGACTTGCCTACTGTATCGAAGTACAACTAATGTACTATGATATGTTATTATATCTCATTTGGATTTTATTTATTGCAGTCACAATTGTAGTGTGTGACATTATAATATACGGCGACTTCTTAGCTCCTTTTTTCACTTTAATAACGGGCTCCGTGGTGCAGTGGCTTAGTAGTTAGTTGCAGCGTTACGGGCCGCGAGTTTAAATCTCGCACGGATCAAGTATTTGTATGGCCTATAAATAATTGTTCCGGGTCTGGATGTTTGTCTTTGTGAAGTTTATGCATGTAGACCCCAGATTTAATAATACCCAGTGTCATAATGCCCGAACGCAGCAAAGATAAAGAGCTCATCAAAGGCCAACACCCTGCGTGTGGGAAAGCATGTTAGATTAGCCGACGAGAAGAAAGGATTTTAGCTTTTCGCTGGATCCATTCCAAATGTGTAAGTAATTTTTAATAGAATAAGTGTGAAAAGCAAGCGCACAGCCCATCTGATAGTAAGTGGATGTTGCGGCACTTAGACATCTACATCTATCGTCAATGAAGAATCAAAATGCAGCAAATCTGAGGACTTAGATAGAATGCCCCGTTACCATTAAAAATGCTCTGCGGTTCTCTACACTCACCATACAAAACACAGCAGCATTACGCTATTTTGTAATGTGAGTGCAAGTAAAGGAACACCTTCTCTAGTTTAGTACCTACCGTCAGTATCAGCCCACCTATGCATAAAATTTTAACTCACGTTTTTGGTTCTTTAACTTTGATGTAATTTAATTTGTATTTTTAATATAAAATTTTCAATAGCATCTTAACTAAGGATCAATGATTCAATAGAACAATTTAAAAAAAAACCGCAGATTCACGCAATTATATCTGTCTATATGATTAAATTTTAAAATATAATAAAAGCAAAAAAATATATAGTACAAAAAACTGCCTTCATTTGACGTAGTACTGTTCTATTTTTAAGTATGATTCTGAATGAGTACAAAGAATCTGTCAAGACATTGAGTAAAGGCGGGGCAGAATGCCAGGTAGCTATGGCCTGACTAGTGACGCAATGCCTCTACAATTATGTCAGATCAGTGTCAGCGAAACGGGCGATACTGCGGACTCTTCACATGTGACTGACAAAGTGACAGCAAGATGGACGCAACAAAAAAAAAACGCCAAAATTATATTCGGCAAATATATTCCATAATCACCTGATAATAGAACTTATTTTATATCTCATGCCTCTAAATTAATTATAATACCAGTAAAACCTAACGCTTCGCGTGCGTTGATGGCACATCGTTAATCAAAAGTATATTGTACATGAAAGTTAATAGAATTTTCGGTTCACACGATTTTATGAAGTCGTATATTTATCGTTGAAGGAAACTTTACAAAAAGCAACTTGTGGAAAGCAAAGTCACGAATGTGGAATTGCATTCAATGTTAAACAGAATATTTTCTGTGTGCGTTAAAAAAAAACGAGAAAATGTGAAATGATTGCTGACTTATTTGAATTTTCTAGTTCTTGTGAAGAATTTATAACTCACAAAACCCGGTTTCCTTTTCAAAAGGCTGTATGGTATATATATATTTGTCTTCTTTTGGGCATAGATTTTAATTTTCCGGTGTAAGAAAAGAGGGATTACAACCATGACGTACCTTAGCATCTGAAGCTCTGAGCAACTACAACATTGGATCATTGGCTATTGTCCAAACCTTAAATTATTTTTTTAAGATCTTTGAGTTTTACATTTAAAAGGCAAAAAAAAACTACATATAAATTAAAATAATGTTCATGTACTAAAGGTATGTGAGGGTAATATGGTCATCTTAAGCTTTACCGCCCTTTAACACCAACTAGCAGTATGACAGAGACAAAGTACCGTATAGGTACTATAACTAATATATTAAGAAAAAATAACAAGAAAACTTTGGCAATAATTAGGAATACTTCGAAAAATCAACTAAAAAAAAAATAACTACACTACACAATACTAAAATCGATTAAAATATTTTATAATATACCTAATGTCAACTATCAAAATGGCGGCGATAAAGCAGCGTTCTTTTGACCCTTTATTATTTGATTGACTGATGAAGAGTCATCGTATCACAGATTCATCTATGCAAACAAGGCTGCAGTTTTTGATGTATAAGAAAGTGACCATATTACCCTCACGTGCTATATTAATTTTAGAAAAAACTAATAGTCAATGACTACTTTATACTCAATGTACAATAATAGGTGTGTAATGATTCACAACGGACATAAAAGGCTTAAGTAAATTGCATATAAGTAAAAACAAATTGCAACGTGATCAGTTATCTGATTAATTGCAGCAAAAATAATGCAACTCTTTGCCGTATATCGACTGCCGAGCGAGACGTAAAGACGTAGAGTGGCGTGATTTAGACTGTCTTGCTCTAATGAATCACTTCACCAACAAACTTAACACAGTGATTTACCTATATCCATCAGAACAGCTTACAATGTTGTATTCTGTTGATGTTTTTATTATAGAATCATTAAATAGTTGGTGATGGACGATTTAGTTAGAAAAAACTGCAATTCTAGACATACAACTGTTACTTAAAAGGTTGGGGAGGAGAATTTATATATGCGAAGATACACACTGCTGATTTTACGAATTTGTACTTTTTCTATTCGGTAGAAAAGCGGACATGGATATCGATTTTTTAATAAGAAATAGTTTTTCGTTTGAACAGTATTAATGATCAATAGATGAATAGACATGACCGTGCGACGAGGCACGTACGCAGCTGTTCCAGATATGTTTGCGAATGGCAACAAAAAATGGTGGAAATTCACGGTGACAAGAGTGCGTGACAAAGTGTTGTTATTCATGAACTACTGAACACATGGATATCGGTTTATCTACAGTTTTTAAATACCGTATAAATAACATGGGCACGTCATCAGAATCCTTTGTTTTCTTTTCGATATTCAGTCCATGTAATTTCATTTGAATTATTACCATAATATAACATAATTGCTTTGATTCAAATAGATCAAACGATTAATTTTTATTTTCATAGATTAGCGTTAAAAAGCGAGCACATAGTCCAAGTGAATACTTTAGTCCATAGACATCTACATCTGTCTCCAATTCACAATCAAAATGCAGATGCGTCGCCACCTCTGAGGACTTAGATGGAATGTCTCGATTCCAGTAAAAAGGGGTTCCGGTTCTCTCACGATATTCGCAGCATTATTTGCTGTTTCACGCTGGTATTCTGTAAGAGCATGGTTCTGCCCCGGTCGAAAAGACCTATTCATGCCGCAGCAGCTATATATTATTATAGCTGCATCATGTTCCTACCGCGTAAGAATGTAGAATTGTTGCAAAAATGGATCAGGATTCAAGATCAGAAATAAATTATTGGGTACATTAAGTTCCATGATTTTAGGATGTGTATACTGTGTGTAGTTAAAATAAATAAATACTAAACATAACTTTAGACTAAGAACTAAACCAATCCGTAATTCGAAGGCTTTTTACTTTAATGAGCTGCCACAGAGTGCAAGAATGAATACGAAGATTTTAATTGTTATGCACATAAATAATAACATTTAGGCTCAATTTACATTGCGGCGGAATGGAATGGAAGCGAATTTTGTAACGAAATTGTACATAGTAAAATAAATTTTATGTTAATTGTGTAACGTGCAAAGTAGATATAAGCCAAAAACGAAGTCGCGAGTCTTCTTTTATCATATCTAGTTTGCACGTCACACAATTAACATAAATTTCATTTTACCATGTACAATTTCGTTACGAAAATTCGCTTCCATTCCATTCTAAGCCTAAGGCAGACTGCCCATTTTTAACACTTTTAGACAATCATTTTGCATATTTTTTATTAAAATTTATAAACACATATAGTCCTCCCTTATAGATTACCTCATGGGGAGACTTCGCCATAGTTGTCCCGCTTGGCAACCGAAGGTTTTTTATTAATTTGAGGTGTTATTAGTGCTGTATGCTGCTGCCCATCTTCTGTTTTATTCTCCCTCTGTCACCTCTTACAACATCCTCGGGACGATAACGATTAGTGGATATTCTTACACCGCCACTACGCGGTAAAATACATAAGTTAAGTGACAAAATGTTATAAATAACTAAATAAAAAAAATAATGAAACTATGTAACAAAATATAATATACTTCTTAATATTAAATCCGCAACATTGCGTTCGTTATCTAGTACTATAACCCTGTTTTCACTGCATTGTAAAGTCCTTATTATATCCGAGTTTATTTTTCGCTATGATCTGGTTCACTTAGGATAAGTGGATTCTCGTCTACCCCCGCCATGACTACCGTATACTGATTCGTGCTGTATTTTTTCATTTCTTGTTCAAATAAAATATTATTAATAGCTTGCTTAATCATTGATTGCGTCCTTTCATCGTGTTTTCTCAAGGAATTCGCGATATATACTCCGAAACTATCACATTCATCCTTCTTCTTCAGCAGATCTAATCTTCTGAGAAGTCTTATAGCCTCGCTTGATCTATTCCTGTCTTCGTCGCCATGATCCTCTTTCACCAATCTACGTTTTATTACCTTAGTGACCCTGGGCTTCCGGCTAGTGACATATTTGATATTCCTTTTAGATTTTGCTTTAGGATATTCCACATTCGGTTCAGTTTTAATTATGATGTCCTGAGATTCGAGGTCTTCGTTTTCGGGATCATCATCGATGTGGTTATCTTCTTCTGGTGAAGATTGGTCTGCTTCTTCCACGGCGAGGTTTAATATGCGCCTCCGTCTTTCGCTCTGCCAAAGAACATTGATTATAAGTGAAATCTTTACTAGTCTATAAAAGCAGGCATTTTAAATGCCCAAAGTGTCAAAAATAAGAAAAACTATCAGTTATAAAATCGATTTATCCTATTTTTTAATAATGATACTTTTTATCAACTTAACACAACGCTTTCATTTATTATTTTAACATTTATGTACACTATTAATTTCAAACTCTTATGTCAATTTTGTCGCATTAATCTGTTCATTATCATGTCAATTTTAAGTGTACTTGCCTCATTACTCGCAGACCCTGGATTCGAATCCGTTGCCAATATTAAGATCTGTGTAAAAAAAAATATTTAGTTTTTAGTAGGGAGCTATTGGGCCCCGGAAGCTACAGCCTACTACGTCCCAAAATCCCATTGCTGGGTACAGGACTCCTCTCATTTTTGAGAAGGTTTTAGGGCTAGGAAAAGTCCGCCGCGCTGCCCCAATGCGTATTGGTGGATGTCAAATGTCTTTGAAATATATTTATTTAATTTCTAAGACATACAGGTTTCCTCATGATGTTTTCCTTCACCGCAGAGAACGTGGTGGTAGTGGTGCCAGGGGGGTTCGAATCCGGGTTGCTCGCGTAATGTGATATTTACAGCGAATGTTTAGTCACTGAGCTACCACGGCCGTAATTTGGCTGACATTGAGGCGAACCTCCAAATTCTTGAACAAATCTAGAAGAAACTTCTAGAAATAAATTGCTTACATAACAGTATGGCCATCGTTCGTATTTTATTTCCTTAAGTTTGTTGTTAGGGTCAATACCTAAATTTAAACAATTGGCATTCCGTGTACTAAGGTCGCGTAATCGCAAATTAATATGGAAGTAATTCATTTATTAACAGTTTACCTACTAAACGAAATATATCAGTGTGTCAGGGTCACGCAATGCCCCGACTAATCGGATAAATGGTGCAATGTAACAAAATTAAGAGACCAACTATAGATCACTAGATTAACGTCTGAAGTGCACATTTGTATATCAGTCGCATGCTCTTGGACATTGGAATATATTTACACTACTTATAATATCGCACTATGAAATGCTATGCGCAGTTGATAATCATAATAAGAACATTTTTTTGAATTAAATAAGGGTGACAAACGAGCACACAGTTCACCTGATGGTAAGTGGATGCTGCGGCCCACAGACATCTACATCTATCCTTATCTTAACAATTAAAACGCAGATAACTGAGGACTATGATGGAATGCCTCGTTTTCAGTAAAAAGGGGTCACCGGTTCTCTACATTCACCATACGAAACACAGCAGTGTTAAGCTGGTATTCTGTGAAAGCGTGGTCCTTCCCCGGTCTAGCCGACCCATTCGATGTACGACCACTATACAGCTGCAGCATGACTCTACCACGTGTAACTTCTTTCTATGGTATCTAGTCTATATAAAACATTCAGAAATCGGTCACGAACTACCAACATAATAATTGCCCTAAAAATCTATCCACCTCTAACACTATTAAATATTTATTTTACATGGAATTCTTCTACGTCACCGTGTAGTGAAAAAACCTACTAACGCATTTAATACCGTGGGTACTTGACGGTAAATGTTAACAAAGGAAAATATGACAGTAGATCGGCGCAGCGTCTTCTTGATAAACATTCAGTCTCGTTCAAAAATGTGGTTGCCAATCCGTTTGCCAAGCGCGACAGCTATAGCAAATATCTCTCCTGTGAGGCAATCCATGGTAAGTTTAGCAGGGGACTTTCAGTGGTAGCATGATTGCGTGTATGAATTTATGTGTGAGAGAGAGAATTACTTCTTTAGTGCCAAGAAGTCTGTCTGGGTAGAGGTACCACACTCTTCTCTATATCTGCCGCCAAACAATAGTACCTGCACTGTACTGTACGGCAGTGTTCGTTCTGAATGGTATACGGAGCCAGTACAACCACGGGCGGTGGGGCACTCCATCTTAGTCAAACACTCAGACGTGACAACGTAATGAGGGCTAATCGTTTCCTGCTCACCAGATGTCGCTAGTTGACACTGAGGTAAAATTTTGTGTTACACAGTTTTTTTTTGTTTTGTTTTTTTTTTTATAAAACGTTACCCCACACTAAGATTTTCTCTTGTATCGTGGAGGCAGTTTACAAACATAAATTGCTCAAGGACAAACATCCAGAACCGGAACAATTATTTGCAGGCCATACAAAACTTCAATTATTTGTATGGCATGTTTGTTCCGTGCGGAATTCGAACCCGCGGCCCCTTTTGCTCTGCCACTGCGCCACGGAGCCGTCAATCAACAGTGTCATTTAATTGAGAAGTTAGTTATAAATGTTTATCAGTTTCTACAAAACAATGCCTCAGTGGTTTGGCTATTTAAGTTTTTGGAACATTTATAACTTTTTTAATCTTTCTACTTTTATGAATATCTGTGGTTTGGTTTAGTTATTTTTAATCTTATTAATATAAAATATAGCTAATAGTACAGAAAGAAACATAAACTTTTACATTTTCCGAACAAATTAATTCCGCGCTATGAAATCTGTCAATTATTATACCTCACTTTCTAGTGGCGCCGCCCTGGTGACAGAAAAAGTAGTGGATGCCCTCATCCCTTAATATTATAATAACCCTTTTTGTACAAACTTTGGTCGGCTCGACCGAGGTGGGACCACGCTCTCACAGTATACCAGCGTAAAATAGCAGCTTAATGTTGCTGTATTTCGTATGGTGAGTGTAGAGAACCGGTCACAGCATTCACTTACCAACAGGTGGACTGTGTGCTCGTTTGTCACACTTATTCTATAAAAAAAGTGGCGCCGCCCTGGTGGTAGAAAAAGTCGTGGATGCCCTCATTGTAGTCTTCTTTGTTTGTATTGGCTACGGGTGTCAATACACTGCAGTACCTACTCACCATCAGGTGGATTGTACTCAAAGTAACTGTAGGGTTTAGAGACCTCGTATAGGTTACAGGCCGTGAAACAGAGGTGACAACGCATCAGTACCCTTCTTTGTTTGAAGTTAGCAGCAGGATGTCTAAGGACTGCAGGCTGGCAGGAGACAATTTTATCTCCGGGGAAAGGAGAAAATGTTTAACCCCTCGCTTAGTTTTATCCACCCTTCGAGCATGGGCTCACCGGTAGATATAATATCACTTGTATGTAAAATGGGAGATAGACTTAGATAGATTTTAACTAGGATAAAATTGTCCCTTTCAAATGTCAAAAAAGCATATTTTTTTATCTTTCATTTGGCTCCATGCTATGGACGGGTGACGGGTGATCTACTCGTTACGTCAAACGGGGATATACCTACTTCTCACCGTCGCCGAGCTTTGGCATAAGGACAAGATAATTTTATCTCTTGTCAGTGGATAAAATCGGGGGATAAATTTTTTGTCCCCAGTCCATGCTAGCCGTGAAGTAATCACTTAACATCAGGTGGGCTAGAAGTACGTTTGTCACTTCAGAGTACTAAAAAAAAACAAAATTATAACATAATATACGCAATACGCGCTAAGATAGTTATAATTTAATAAAGAAAACAGGAAATGTATTTGATTATTAAATTACCGCTGGGCTTGACTCGTCGTTTTCTATATGCGTCGGCAAAAAACTCATATGCGGGTAAAGGAACCATGTAGACCGGCCGCCGCATCGTACTTTCGCCTTTTCGCGGCGGTGCGAAGCGAAAATCGAGTTCAACTTCTTCCTGAGATCAACTATGTCGCATTCGAACACATTGGCCAAGTCCGACCAAGCTTCGTACTTCGCCGTATGCACCCGATAGAGGTCGTGCGAGCTGTCCCATAACTCCGGCCGCTTTTTGTACTCCATCATGAGTCTTATTACTAAATCATTCGTCCACTCAACGTCCGACATTGTGATTTACTTTTAAATATGTAATAACAAACAACAAAACGTTCTGTTCACTAAATTTAACTAAATAACCTGTGTCCGTAACCTTGAATTTTAAGTCACATATGCATAGATTTTCGCGGCGCGCTTGCTGCGGTGATATTGTTATTGATAGCGTTCAGAAACCGGGTTAAATTTAAATGTAAAAAAATCAGGTAATTGTTTTCGCGGAGCGTACGAACGTGAATTCGTAAGTTGTTCGCTCGCGGTCGAGCCGAGCGTAGACTGCGGGATCGGGGGGCGTAACGTCGCTCGGGATTGTTCGGGTGCGTTCGCTCGCGCGTTCGTACACGAGCGATTGTCGTTCGATTCTATCGGGATTCGATGTATGTTTTGTTAGGTATATAATGTACTTTTGGATTTAATTAGTGACACACAATTATTAGAAGGAGGTTAAGATGTAACAAAAACGAACATATGCCTTTTTGATTAATACAAATATTATAAAATTTAGAAATGTATTTAAAACAATAGTGTAGCTCTAATGGCTAACGGTCGAGTCAAATTATTGTAAAACTAATTATTCATCTAACAAAAACATTAAAAGTATCTTCAAGGGAAGTTAACACGACAATTCAACGTAATAATTTGAAATATAAAATTTTGTACAACCGACTTAATTTTTTTTTTATACTATAAGGGTGACAAACGAGCACACAGTCCACCTGATGGTAAGTGGTTGCTGCGGCCCATAGACATCTACATCTATCCTCTATTACAAATCAAAATGTAGATGCGCTGTCACCCATGAGGACTAAGATGGAATGCCTCATTTCCAGTAAAAAGGGCCTCCGGCCACCTGCACTCACCAAGCGAAACGCAGAGGTAAACCTCTACTTCACGCTGGCATTCTGTGAGGTCGTGGTACCACCCCGGTTCGAGCCGGCCCATCCGTGCGACAGCAAAAGCTGCCGCGTGGCTCTACCACTGTTATATATACTAGTTATATGTTCAATATAAGTTATTAAGAATAACTCAAAATCTATTGGTCTGACCTTGATCAAATTCATATGAGACCACACGAGAAGTAGCAGCAAATAAAAAAAGAATTATCGAAATCGGTTCACCCAGTAAAAAGTTATGAGGTAACACACATAAAAAAAAAACATAAAACATACAGTCGAATTGAGTACCGTCTCCTTTTTGGAAGTCGGCAGAAAAGTACTTACCTACTGTATTCGGGTGAGAGCGAAAATTAAATTTTGGATTTCGATCTCTAGTGAGTCTAGTTGGCTCATGCCATAAAATTAATTAACCTACCTTACTAACATTTTACGACATGAGCCGCTATTATAGGTACTTCACTATGAGAAGCCTTTCTCCCCCGGGAATATGCTAACGGGAATACTAAATACTAATAACATCCCCCTTTCTATGAAAGCATTATTTCAATATTATGAAAAAATCAAAATCTCCATAGATGTCCAAATAGATGTTTTAAAACAAAATATCATATTCTCTGTCATTTTTATTGCAATGTGTGTAAGTACGACACAAACAATCTGTCACTCTCTTAGGTGTCGTATCGTGAGATGTTTAATGACACGGAATAAAAATCTGCACAAGGAAACACTAAAACTCTAACATTATTTTAGTTTCGATCTAGCCTTAACATTTGCGTTAGATATTAAACTAGACTACTTACTTGTTTTGAAAAATTTTGTAAAGCTAATAAGAATGATATGTAAATTAATTAGACTTTTAATACAGACAACTACATATTTATTAATGATATTGTTCTGTGACAAAATTAACATCATTTTTTAACTGTGCCATTACAATTTATTCACGATGACAGCTGTCACTTCCATTTTCATGCGAACGTTTGGAAACTGATTAAGTGGAATATGTTGTGGCCGCACCTTTTAATTTAAAAATAACGTAATTCACTTTTCCTTATTTTACTTTGTTTTCGAAGGCATTACTTTAGATTTTTTTTATCGAATTAAAATAAATTAAAACGAGCACACAGGCTATCTGGTGGTAAATGATTACTGTGGCCCATAAACACCTATATCTATATTCTATACTATTTTATATGGTGTCTATTCGCAAGTACACGGTCCCCTTCAAGACCAATCAGAGCATCCAGGGCTTATTGTCTCTACGGTGAGGCCACTTAAGAATGAGGAATAATTATATTTAACAGATTCCGTAGCGGCAATTTGATTTTTTAGAAGAATTAAAAAGAAAGTTAAAATACGTTAGAACTAACACATTATATATAGAATAACATATACAGCAGTGAGGTATTGTTTAATGTATATACATACCGCAAAACTTATACCTGTCTGACCATCTGCGTAAAAAACCTTTATATTAAATTTGGTAGAAATTACCTAGCGTACATCCGCTCGATAAAATAAAATGTTGTGTCTTACCTAGTTTGAAGAGCACCTCCCGCCCTGCCACCATTATCCACTACACTAGGAAAGAACAACCACTAAAGACAATACGACACATGTTTCGCCTCTATACGAGGCATCTTCAGGTGTAGGGTTGCCATCGCTCCGGCTTTAGCCGGACATGTTTGGCTTTTTCGGGTTGTGTCTGGCCAAATTTGTATGTGTCCGGCCTGTCCGGCTTTTGTCAGGCTTTTTGTTAGTGTAACGCGTTGCACGCATCGCTTGCAGAATAAATAAATAAGTAACGTATACACTTGAAACTGTGCTGTGATTGATTAATAAACAATTAACGTATGTAACGGAGTATTTTAGTTTTTTTTTCTCGGGAGGTTGGAGTTGGTAAGTTTTTTGGCTGCATGGCCTCAGAAAGGTATATTTGGCTTTCTAAAAATTACTGTCCGGCTTTTAGGGCAAAAAGTCCGGGTTTTTGGAGCGCTGAGTCCGGCTTTTTCATTTTAGGAGATGGCAACTATTCTATTCAGGTGATGTAGACTCTGCGGTGGCTGACCTCTCTTCAAACTAGGTGAGACACATCATTTTATTTTATCGAGCGGATGTACGCGAGGTAATTTTTACCAACTTTAATATAATGGATTTCCGTAAAGTAACGCCTGATTCTATTAATTCCAACACATCATCTTAGTTCCAACTAGCGACATCTGGTGAGCGTAAGATTATTGTTAGGGATCACTTAGGATTATCGTACTTACTATGTATTGGCGAATAAGTGAATCCGACGCTCTATTTCGTCCCGTGATAAATACCAGAAAATTTTATGGCTAGGTAGATGATGGCGTGGATGTGATGAAACAAACCCTCCCTGCAGCGAGAGAGCCTAAACAGAAGACTTAGCGGTCAGCCACCGCCGAGGTTATTAGTTGAACTGAACTAAGGACGCCTCGTTTACAAGCGAAACGTGTATCGTAGTGTCATCGACGGTGGTGTGTCCTTCCTAGTTGATAGTAGAGGTGTTAGGATTAATGGTGACGAGGATAGTGCACAATCAGTGCAGATCTTATGTGATTAATATTTTACACTTTTAATCAAATAGAAATTCAAATTACAGAATGGGGTGGCGTTGGTGAAAAAATAAAAATGAAATTTCACAGAACATGGCAGCATAATGCCACGCATGGTGAGTGAATAGACCCGGAAACACTTATTTCTGGAAACAAGGTATTTAATTTAAGTTCGTAGGGGTAACAACGCATCTGCATTTTGTTTATTAATGATAGACAATCAGGTCGCGTCACTCCATTTAATAGGTAGATAGATGAATGCAGGTGGCTCAGGATTGTAATTTATGGCAATCAATGCTTAGGCTGTAGTGGTGTAGGTGACTAGAAAGAAAGAAAGAAAGAAAGAAAGAAAGAAAGAAAGAAAATTAGTTTATTTAGTAACACATTTTAGAAGTTTGCTAACCATAATAACATATTAAGATAAACGGTTACTAAAAGGGTACCCAACTCAGCATAGTCTTGGTACCAACAAAGTACTTCGACACTGATCTTCCGTGGGTGCCGATAACATTTAACACAAACAAAACTTAACAATATTCATTATTATACAATGTTAAGTCAATATGCACATACAGTATATTTAAATCATATACACGATTACACTAATAATAATAAGTAATAAAACATACGTAAGTACTTATAATAAATTAATATAATATAAATAGCAATTACTTAAATAAGATTAAAAGGAAACGAATAAAACGGAATAGCAAGGTATGTAAGACACAGTAAATATTTTTCAATAAATTGACTTTTGAATATTGAGTAAGTATTTTTTGTAGTTATATTTAAACAAACCGATTGAAGCTGAACTAAATGCTGCAGCATCCTCACATCATCAGGTGGATTGTGGGCTGTTTTGTTAGCCTTGTTTTTATAAAGGAGATATTGTTTCAAAGTCAGCCATACAGCTTGAAGAACCGAAAAACGATTGAAAAGAAAGGTTCTCGAGTGGTATCCTAGTATCGCTTCACTAGATGGCATAACGATCTGTTAGTTCAGGACCATGTTTTGTTTTACGGCATTACTTGGGGGAGACCTATGTTCAGCAGTGGACGTGTGAGGGCTGTATAACGATAGGCACCGGACATTAAAAAGGCGCATTTGAAAAAATTTTTTTTTTAATATCCCTTGTTTAATACTGTGAAAGGTATAGAAGTAACTTAATTGTAATTTTTATTATAAATAATAATAAAAATTGTGTCGGTAACAAAGCGCCCCTTTGTTAGTTACAGGCAATAACCATGTCTAATATATCTAGAGCTTTAGTCAATGACGAAATATTATTCACTCAGGGTCCTTTGTAGTTGGACACACAACAGGGAGTGCCGATCAATATTATCTTGACCTGTAAGACCCACCCTTTCTCGTTGATAGTCTCTTGTGTTTATGTGATCTCGGGGGTCAGGTTGGATGGTTCTTTTCCTCTCAATGGAGATCCCCTGTCAATGAGAACTGAGGGTGGTCTCCCTCCTCTTTGAGCAGTGTTGTCGCAGGGCAGGTAGCAGGGTAGTTCGTGATTAAATTTAATTCTGCTTTC